TATTTCACAGAGGAGATCACTGTGACAATGAATTATAATTACATAAAAAATATTTTTTTTCAAAGTTGTAACAATTTCTATACTATTGTATTGTCTAAGTATTTTGTGTTTGTGTGGTAACGTTTCGGTGACAACATCCGATATGTACTGAAAATCCACAATAAAAGCTACTGAAGCAAACCTGTAGGATCCGTGGTGACAGCTTTGCTTAATGGTACAAACGAACGCTTTTTAAATTATTAAATTTAAAAAAAAAATACGTTAAAAGGCGTTGGTTTTGTAGAAATTTTTTCATAATAAAAACTGAATTGCTAGTAATATATTTTATTTTAAGTAGGTAGGTATGCCACTTTGATATAGTTATTCTATTTTACGATGAAGGTTTCGCCTTGATTGTAGTAGTGACGTGTACCGACAGGCGCGTTTGTGTGTGTAACTGCGATTCGTTCGACTCGCGATCGTGACAGCGCTCCCGAGGCCTACGCTCACTAACACAATGTGTATGTGCACGGTTACAATTATACAACAACCAAAGTCAAACCATCGTGAAATAGGATAACAATAGCCGTTGCCGCGGCCCGATATCTAGTCTAGTAGCTACATAGATTACCTCCTAATAGATTCCGCATACAGGGCCACAAACGCGCGCAACACATACTTGCTGTAGCTAGCATACGAAGCGAAGCTAAGAATCACGACATCAGTTTCGACCAAGTTTGTGATCCGTAGGGACGTCCGAGTTCTTGACAATTTAAAAATAGTTTTGTATCCAAAATACATTACAAATGGCTTCCTGTGCAGTAAAATGGTGTGACAAGTCAGCTAAGACATCCAGTTATCAAAAAGATGGCATAAATTTTAATTGGTAAATAAATTCTATTCTTATCACGTTAACCTATTTCAAATGCACCGGAGATCAACTTATACTGGTATATGAATGGTGCAAAGTGATAACAATTAAGCACCCGTTGATGTCTTTTTGAAATGTCCCTTTCACTCGTTACGTAAATTACAATATTTGTCTTTGTCTAACAACAGCACGTGTATCGATAGTGTTGTGATTTTTAAGTCGATATTTGTTTGGTCATCGTTTAATTATTTTTTTCGAAGTCATACTATTTTATAAAAATAGTGACGTATCATTGTGGTACCTATGTGTTATAGGTTTCCTAAATGCCCCGAAAGGAAAAGAGATGTGGATCGACGCAAATTGTCGAGGGGACGAATGGTTTCCCACCAAAAATAGTGTACTATGCTCAAAACACTTTACAGAAGACAATCTTCATAATATTATGAAAAATCGTACAAAGTTGTTAGATTCTTGCCAGTTTTGGTATGGACTTTTGCATTTTTTTTAAAGATTAGTACTAACGTAGATGACACAATAATATCATTAAGTGGTTGAGTGAAACATGATATTCTTATATTTAGGTAAATGTTACAAGTCGAAATCAAGCTATTTTGAACGGATTTATAAATCATAAAACTTGTAAAAGTTATAATGTGATTATTGTTTTGACTTGGTATTTAGTGTTACATGAACTTCAGTATTATCTTATTATAATTATTAAGTACATCTTAATTTGGAAGACGTGCCGTATGGTGTATTAATTAATAATACTATATCGGTAATGTTTTAAAAGAAAAGAATATGTATTTCTGATTTAAATTACTGGTTCACCGCTGAAAGACGCGAAAAACCCGCCAACACCTAAAAATCATAAGAGTCATTGCTTAGAAACGCCTACAAAACAAAAAAGAAAATTTTCTCCTATACCTGATACGCCATCTGCATTTGATACTCCAGTTAAAAACGTCTTTGTAGAAGAATCATCGAATTAACCAACGTAATGAACAAAAAAGATAAAAAAGTTAAAAAGTTAAGTGATTCCAACAGAAGACTAAAAACACAAATAGTTTCTTTGAAGTCATTATTGGTAGAATTAGAAAACAAAAATTCATTAGCAGCGGAAAACAATGACGCATTAAGTTCCTTAGAAAAATCAAAATCTAGAAAATCAGGCAAAATTGTTAGAAAAAAATATTCACCACAATTAAGAGCTTTTGCACTCACCATAAATTACTCAGCTAGGCTTATAATTATGTACGCAAAACATTTAATACTTCTTTACCTTCTGTGAAAACACTAGGAAAGTTTGTAGTTTTAACACAATCAATTAAGCTTAATTATAAATAATAATTATAATAAAATAATATATATAATAATAATAAAAATAATAAATATAAATAAATAAGCAGTTTTGTTAATGATGATAAATTTCATGAAATAAAAAAATCACCAATTCGATCACGAAAGTTGTAATCATGTCATTGATTTAGCTAAGAGTGTTATGGAAAATACATAGACATACTCGTAAGATTACTCTACTCATCCAGGAAGACAGATCCTAAGAATTATGTGAGACAATTTTATACTAAGATTATCCATTTTAAAAATCAGTCAAATATATATTTATAAATTAAATGTACAAATATATGTATACAATGTTTAATTTTTTAATAAACATCAAATAAAATAGATCAATATATTTATTTATCATTATCAATAATCAATAAATCCCAAATTTATCGATCAACGTCCCAACCCTGTTCCATCACTATGGTTTGTTACATTCTAAGTTTGACCTTTAAATATCCAATCACAGCGCATTTGCCACGTCCCCCGCAACCCTTGCATAGGGCCAAATTTGGTGAACTCGAAACAGAACAAATATTCAATGATGCGGTATCTATTAGGAGGTAATCTATGAGTAGCTAGCAGTTGTTGTAACGAAGTGAGATCTAAGTAGGTAAAATATGTGTACCGCTTGTATCAACGAAATTAAATACCGACACCGAAAACCACACATCGTTCATACTTAGTTTTCGTTGTCGCCCTAACGAACTGTTTTTAGCAAAAAAGTTGACAACCCTAGCCAGACAAGCTCTGTGTCATGGATCAACTTCAACTTAAATTATCGATTATTCAGCCTATGTAGTGACATAAAAAAAATTAAAAGACACTTTTTCATTATACATTTATCTGGACTCATGTACGTATATCGTTAAAAACGTACATATAATTCATATATTAAGCTTCATCATTATTATTTTTTCTTTTTTAAAATATGTACTTAAAAATTTAATATAGGTACCACGTTCATACTTTGAGTACACGTCGAACAAAAATTTTTTCAAATAAAAATTGGCAACCCTAGGTATATAAGCTCTGTGGCAAAGATCAACATCAACCTAAATTAACAATCGGTCATAGGTACTTAAAGGTCTCGTTGTTGCGTCGCACTAATGTTTTTTTTTTAAATAAAAATTTGGCAACCCTAGCCAGAAAAGCTCTGTAGCAAGGATCAACATCAATCTAAATTATCGATTAAGCATATATGTGACCTTAAGAAAAATAAAAACACACTTTTTCATTATTAATTTAACTGGAGTCGTGTTTATCAAAGCAAACTAAAACAATTCTATTTAGGTGCAAAAGAAAAAAAAAGAAAGGCGTGACAACCCTATAACCATTAATACATAATAGATTATTAAATATTTTTTTATTAATTAAGTATAAGCTTCTCATGATTGAAATCTTTTTTACTGTTACACATGTTTAAAGTATTTACGATCTTTTTTACATTACATATTATGTAATAACGTCGATACAATAATAATGTTGTCTCAAGACACCACACCATGTAAAACGCAAACAACGTATATGTCATTAAAAATAACGCAACAATATAACAGTTAATGCACATTGCACGACTATATAAATTAAGTCTACAAATTTCTTTAATTTACAAACAAACATATTACATAAGTTATCTATCCTAACCTTAATTTCTTTTTATCTAACAACAAACAATGGCTGTCGTTTCACGGAAGCCGTATTTCCGATTCAACTATAAATAACATAGCATCGAAAAAGATAACCTAAAATAAAATTCTTACATAGTCCAACTCACGAAACCTTTAGTCAAGAATGACATTAAACAGTCATTACTTTCAATAGAAAGATAGATACGCAAAATCGGCCACGTAACCCTTTATACCTAGTTAATTAATTATCTTGTAATGGATGTAAATTACAAAATTATATTCTTTTATCTCCAAAGGTGCAAGCAAAGGTCGCTAACCGATCTGCCAAGCTGTATCAACCCGCGCCGCGAATTTGGCAGCACTGCAAAATCAAGCCCCCTAAACAAATACAAAACCTAACTAGTCCTATTGCAACATATGTACCGTGCTATACTTAAAATACAAAATTGCAAATAAAATAAAACTATCGACGTGGATCGGCAGAATACATAAATAAATCTCCTTACTCATACCTACCAAGGCGCGATATCTCATGTCTCGCTTATGTATACTTACATCAATTTAAATACCAATGTAAGAACTGTAACAGATGTTAAATAATTCAGCTAAAATGCTAATTTATTGTCATCGTTAGAAAGCAATCTAAAAATAATCGTTTTGCGGACACGACAGCAATTTAGTAGTCAGTGTAAGGCTAGGTCATCAAACGATGCCTATTCCTCCTTTCGCTCAATTTACTATCGCATGTACCTATCAGTGTCGTCATCAATAATGCAACGGAATCGATTATAAAATAGAAAAATAGGCACATTCGATTTAAAACTTATAAATAAATATTATCAAGCAACAGAGCGCGGTCAAAACATTGCGCTCGCAGATTGATGTCCAATGTTGTCAACGTTCTTCAGATTGTTGCAAACATGGCGACCGATATCTGGGCTTCACATACTGTCCGTGGACGCAAAATCATGTTACAAACCTAATGCATTACTGTGTAACGTAAGCAAAAATATATTATGGGATGACAACGAAGTGCTACATGAAATAGTCTTTTCACACCTAACGATTAAAGTTAACCCTACTTTTATTTATTTATAATATACTCAACAATACAAAGGACTGAAAAACCAGTATGGTTGCGTAAATTGCTATGATTTTCTGTTATAACTTACCTCTTCTGCTATGACTAGTTCCTTGTAATTCAGCTCGGAATATTTACTTTCGTTGCTTTCATCCAAATTTATAGTTAATCTCACGGTTTTTGTCACATTTTTCTTTGCACTTTTTGGAGCACCCACTGTTATAAGAGTAGCACGTTTAGGGTCCGACATTTTCCACCAAATTCGAGTATAAAATGATTTTTTTCAAAGCATGACACGGCCTGCATTTTCAAACAGTGTAGCACATTGCCTCCATGTTGGAATTCATTGTTTGGGTTGAGAGCGCCACGGAGGAAAAATGAACTAACTCATATTAATCCGTTTTGCATTACAGATGGCAGATATATATTTAGATATTTTCTAGTAAAAAATATTAAATTTGAGGAAAATAACCATGAATTGTGCGAAGATTACTCTATTTATTTAAAAACAAATGTAATTAAAAATATTTAGACAAAAACGTGCATAACACTGTTCATAAGTGGCGTCAGAAATGTTCAATTTACGCGCATATGTTGACAGTTTGAACAATCAGGTGATTTTAAATAGTTTTTTTGTAGGCAGATAGATGTCGCTTTTACAAGAATCTACTTTACCATGAGAGCATTTTAACATTTTTCAAGTAATATCTTTTACTGATACTCACAGGTAAGTACTTTTTTAGAATTCTAATTCTAAAAGGAATGGAAACAATTTATTAGGTATTCTTTTAAGTAGACAAGTAGTAAAATAAAATTACATCATGAAATGTTATAATCTTTGCACCCTGCTACCACTGCATGGAAAAGGTTCTCTCGTCGCTTCCTCGCACCGGTAGACGAAGTGTAGGGTGCTCCCCCACTGGATGGAGTATTTTTACATTGTTGTATAGCATTTTATTTTCATGTCTTTGGAGTGTAGTATCAATAGTGTAGCATCAATATCCCATCTATGAGCAATCTATGGGGGAGGTTTATGCTCAGCTGTGGACTTTAATAGGCTGTAACCAAGGGCGTCGCCAGCCGATGGCGTAGAGGGAGGAGGGGGTACAGACAAGCGCACATGAAGCTTGCCCACGAGTCCTTGGCTGTAACGGTAACGGAGTGTAGTAAGGCATGCAGGTGGCTCACGTGTCAGGACTGTCGCATGCATTTGGGGAGGATGCATTCTGCAAAACAAAGAAACATCCCACTTTGGACAGATTAAATAGTAAACGTAGTGATCATTTGCTCTTTGGTGAACAATGTCATTTCAGAGCCGGTTTTGGATTAGCCCTAATGCGTGTTGGTGAAATGCACATCATTCGTTCTTTTCTTTTTCGTTTTTTTTTTTAAATTATATTTCTTAGGTATATCTTCGTCTTAAGCACAAAAGATTTTTAATTTTCAAGCATGCTCTTTAGAGTGCTTTTGAGAAGTTTCATACCGTCCCATCGGACTATGACAGTGCGGGAATAGTTAAGGATCTCTTAGGCGAATGGTGTGTGACATAGCAGTGGGTACACATCACAACGTTTAGCGGAGTACTAACGAACTCCGCTAAATGTTGAGGTCACTCCGTGAGGCGTCAAGACGTCACCGACTCCTGGGCTGATACTTAGACACACAAGCGCGTTCTGTGACTTTAAGTGTCCAGTCGCGTGGGCGAGTGCTAACAAAGCACTTCCCCCAACCCTTTCGTGTCGAAAGGGGTAGACAGTGCCCCAAGAGTCGTAGCTAATACCACCGGCTCCTTCATACCTCCCTTACGCCACGTACTCGTCGCTCGTCGTCATTGATAAGAAGCATAAATAGGACTCGCTCACTGGGATATTGGACCGGCCCCTATTGGCTTGGGGACCTAGCTGGGATACCTGCTTAACCCGGATCGGTCGAAGATAATGCTAACCTTCAGCCAAATACCAAAGAGAAAGCCCTCATCGCCACCCAAGGAACCCGTACCGAGAACTGTGCTCACGCCCACCAGCGGATCACGGCACGAGTGGTCTCAAACCGATGACCCTACCGCGCATGGTAAGGTCGGCGAGGAGTCACACTCCGCCTGAGACCGACTCCTCACTTTTTGAAAAGAGGCAGTGCCAGTTCTTCACTAACATCGGATGACGAGGAGATTCTTGCGGGGGGTAGAGTACACTACTTCCTTCCAAGGCCACCAACACCACCGGAACCATCCCCCTCCGTATCATCGGACCGCAGCAAGAACGTGGATACGGCCAAGCTCAAGCAAGAATGAGAGGAGTCCTACGGTTGCGAATCGTCCACCTATGTGATCCTAGCGCTATGTGCCGCATTTTCATCACCTGCGCCCATTACCAACCCATCCGGACTTCCATCTGACCATGGACAGAGACCCTTCGAACGCTCAGCTGGCAGCGGCACCACTAGTACCAAGGCCCAAGACGGCTGCTAACAAACCGAAAACGTACCATCCGGTACGTTTTCGGTTTGCTCAATGGACCGAAGACCACTTGATCGAAGATGGGCATTTTTATCGAAAAATCATCTTTTCAGATGAAGCTCATTTCCACCTCAGAGGATACGTCAATAAGCAAAATTGTCGTATCTGGGGCTCAGAAAATCCACCAGAGAAACCAATGCATCCACAACGAGTGATACTGTCTGGTGCGGATTTTGGTCTTGCGGCATTATTGGGCCATTTTTCTTCGAAAATGAGCAAGGAAACGCCGTTACAGTGAATGGCGACCGCTACCGCGCCATGCTAAGCGATTTTTTGTTTGCCAAAATTGAAGAGGATGACATAGACGACATTATGTTTCAACACAACAACAACACGGCGCAACGTGCCACACAGTCAACGTAACAAGCGACTATATAACAATTTTTCGCACTGTTTTCGAAAATTGCATAATAATCAACCGAAATGCTGATGTAAATTGGCCACCTTGGAGCTGCGATTTGACTCCGTTGGACTTTTTTATGTGGGTTAAGGACAAGTATTACGCTAAACATCCAGAGACGACTGACGACTTGATACACGAAATCCAAGTTGCCATTGACGAAATAGAGACCCAAACAATCGAAAATGTACTGAAAAATTGGACTGATCGAATGGGTAAAGTAAAATGTGGTAAGTAATTGTAAAGCCCAGGATACACTACGGGACATTTTGTCCCGCAGCAGGACGCGGAACACTCAATCTACGTGACGATGCAACGTTGCACAGTGTCCCGCAACATGACCCGCAACATTTTACGTGACGTGGGGCATGCTGTTTGCTCCCGCTCCGAGTGCAAACGCACATATCCCGCGTCAGTGTTGCTTGCGCCAGTTTGTTACCGGATATAGCCGTGTGCTCAACGTGCCTTGCAACATGTCAGTAGTGTGGGATACTTTAAACCGTGATTATCGAAATAAAAATGACGCGTGGTAGGATATTGCCAGGACGGTTAAATTACCAAGAAAAAAATTAAACAAAAAAGTGCATACTCCCGTCATACCGATCAGTAGTTTCGACACTCGAAAAGTGTACGACAAGGAAGCATTAGAATCTCCAGTCGACAAGTATCTTAATGCAATGATAAGTCTGATATGATGGTATAGCGTTCCTTAGTACTGTATCCTGTTTGGTTATGGAAGGTCCGATCATTTGTAATAAAGTTTCAAAATCAGATATTGACATTCGAGTCAAATTCACAAAAGATCTGTAAGTCATTCGGAGATCACTTGAAATATTAATTCTTCTTTCTTCTCGTTGTAGTAAAAAATTCCGCATCCACCAACTTGTCTTTCGCTTATTTAATAAGCAGTATGTACTCAGCACTAATCGTCACAACCTCCCCGGGCGACATTTCTATAAGCATTGACTAGTGTGGCCTGCACAATGTTCCGCGACATATACGTCTCGGGACATTTCACGTAGTTGTTGAGCGACATGTTGCACTACATGCCGCTCCTTTTGTCCCCAAGTGTATCCAAGGCTTAAGGCTAGCCGTGATAGTCATTTGAATGATGTTGCATTCCATTCTTAAATGGAAAGGTTCAATCTTTCTAATAAACTCATAACTTCGAAAAAGTTTTTTTAGTAGTTTTTTTTTTATAGCCGCTTCAAATTCCAACTCTTAAATTGCCCACTCCTTATAATAGAAAATAGGAACTAGAACCAGCTGTCAGCTAGTGACGGCAGTTTATACTCTGTTGCATCATTTTGGAGATCAATGAGGCGATGGCGATAAACCTGTAGTTGGACCAGTCTGAGCGGTCGGCTTTGTAGGGATCGGGTGCACTAAAGTTGTCTTCCGTAAGTTCAGGATTACGACTGGGGAGTAGGAGTACAGGAAAAGACGCAAAAGAACTCGTGTTAGCTCCGGAGTACCCATTTTCAGTACAATACTCTATCAGGCCTCTATCAGGCCCACTCAACTTGTTGACAGGACGTCCAGGGAGTGGAGTGTTTTGCACACTGAGCGCTGTGTAAAACGCACATCCAGCATGGAGCAATCACACCGCAGGATGATCGGCGGTGTGAGAACCTAAAAGATCGACTTTCTGCTTTGAGGACTGGCAGTCCTAGCAAAAAACTAAAATTAAATTTAGAGGGAGAGAAGAAAGCTTGGGCTGTTTAAAATCTTTGGATCGCGTCCAGTCAGTCAACGAAAGACGTAAGGTACCAAATAATTAAAAGTATTATTTTTACAACCTATTTATTTGTTTTGTACTTAACAAAAATAAATAAAGAGCATCAAGTAAAATACTTCCGGCACTTACACTATTATTTATTGAGAATATTATACCAAATTTTAAGTGGGGCTTGCAAAGGCAAGCTCAGTACCCCCTTGCGTCCTAGGCTCCAGCCTAGTTAGACTATGGATAAATCAGGTCCTACCTAGAACTAGACTTACCATATTAGCAATCGATGCGCTCTATCCGAATAAAAATGTAGGAGGCGGGCGAAGAACTTAGGATTTTAACAGCATACCGCCCGCCAGGGACTCCATTTTACTCCTCAGACATCCGGAAGACCTAACATCTACCATCTTCATAGCACCTATCATCATCGCGGGGAACCTAAACGTGAAACACCCGGGCTGGGTATCTAGAGTGATCAATCCAGCGGGAAAAAACGATATCTATGACGTTTAGGTCACGCAGAACCAACGCACGTGCCTACAGACCACCGCAAACGTCTGGATGTATTGCAAATCATGCTCTCTCGGAACGTCAACTGCCCAACCGTGGTAGAGGTGCTGTACGATCTGATTTCTCAGCATTTTAACAGCGGTAGAGCCACGCGACAGCTTTTGCTGTCGCACGGATGGGCCGGCTCGAACCGGGGTGGTACCATGAAGCTAATTTTGCTTCATGGGTGGTACCACGACCTCATAGAAAACCAGCGTGAAGTAGAGGTTTACCTTTGCGTTTCGCTTGGTGAGTGTAGGTGGCCGGAGGCCCTTTTTACTGGAAATGAGGCATTCCATCTTAGTCCTCACGAGTGACAACGCATCTACATTTTGATTTGTAATAGAGGATTGATGTAGATGTCTATGGGCCGCAGCAACCACTTACCATCAGGTGGACTGTGTGCTCGTTTGTCACCCTTCTACCAACAGCATCTACAAGAGAGACCTCCAGTGTATGAAGCGATCAACTCAGCGGACGACGTAGATGTCACTGCCACCAGAATATCAAAGAGGATCACAAAAGACCGGGTCGGATCGTAAAGGCCCGGTACACGCGGCTTCTACGATCGTTCCACTAAGAAATAGGAGAGACGAGCTGCCGCGAGAGATACGTGCTCAGCTCAACCAGAAAAGAGCGCTAAGAGAGCTCTAGGCACGCACTCGCTACCCAAGGCTTAAGAAACAAATAAAACAGCTGACGAGCTATCGGTTGCAATCTAGGTGCAAAGGTAGAGCGGATATTCTTGTAGAGCACTTCGAGGAGCAGTATATACCAAACAAAGCAAGTGCGGAGCTCACGGAGTTTCACATGCAAAAGGAGAGCCGCCTACGGGAATTCCTGTTGTCGCCCGCGCCCCCGCTTGCAGGAGAGTGGTTCATCTCCCTCGCTTAACTGTGGAGGACAGTAACCCGCCTGCAACCAAGGACGCCGAAGCACGACGGGATAACAAAACACAGAACTTCGGCAGCTGCCCAATAGAACAAAAAGTAGACTAAGTTTAACTTTACTTCTTATAACATAACCTACTTGCTAGTGAAAGTCTCGTCAAAATAGGTCGAGCCATTTTGGAAATTAGCCGGAACAAACAGACAGACAGACAGACAGACAGACCGTCAGACAGACAGATAGACCGACAGATAGACAAACATCAGACAAAAATATTTAAAATAGTTTTTTGTTGTTTTAATTACCGTATGTACTTTCATATGCATTTCGTAAAAATATTTTGATATTAGAAACATACACTTAAATTTTATTTCTTTGTATAGATTGTATTGTTCATTGTCAACCACAAATGCGGTATGAAATATAAGATAAAAGTTTCATTTTATAGCAAATAAATGTTACAATCGTTATTTTTAGACTTAATTTTGTTATAATAAATCGAAAGAATATTTTCTTTCCAATAAAATTGCTTTGTAATATAGCGCCATCTACTTCATTCTATAGGTAAAGTCACTTTACCAAACTAAAATTGGTTGGCTCTCAAAGTGTTACTACATGAGGTAGGCGCTAGATGGCGTAATTACGAATAATTTTATATTCATCAATAAGCTATGGAATCGTTGATTATTGAGTTATAATTGGACTAATTTTATTCATATGGTTAATTTTATTTGTTTAATAAATTTGTTAATTTCTTAAACTGTTTATTTTAACATTCAAAATGTATGTAACTAAGTAAAATATATGTAACCATCTTTAAAGCATCGTACAAAGAGAACACTGAAAATGATAGAATAGACTATTTAAAAAAAAAAAAAACTAGCAATTCTATTAACATTTCTAAAATTCCCTTTGTGTTTGTGGTTACTATTGGTAAGCTTAAAAATAATCGAATGGCAAATTCGAACCCATATAAAATTTCTGGGCTTTCCCCAAGAGGATCTCATGTTCACCAGTGAACTTATACAAGGAACTGTAATGATAATTAATAAAACATCATGATAAAGTACATAATCAAATTAGACTTTAGAGCTGATTTATTAATCGGCAGATAACAGTTATCCATCGAATAAAATATAATCTGATTGTATATAAAAGTGAAACAATGAAACTATTTTATTCAAACATTTATAATTTTCTATTTGTTTATGTTATGTTATACGTTATCTCTTTTATCCTATGAATAAATTTTAATTAAAGATTGACAAATAGACAGATAAACTTAAAACAATTATTCTTGGAATATCATTAAATAATTATAAATGCACCCTTAGAAAATAAGTATATTAAATAAAAATACCGCTCTAAATTAACTTGACAGTCACATATTATATAAAATATAGTAATAATAGTCAGTCGGTTAAAAAGAAATGTGAATCCAAGCAATTACAAATTATTCCAAGCTTAATGGCGCGATATTTTTGAGAAATGACACTATCAGCAGAAACAGAGTTGATATTCTTCAGGAGAGCCGTTTTCGGATACGGCTGATGAGTTGGAAATAATGAGACGGAGATCGCTATTAAGATAAGGGGCATTAGTCTCGTCGGTGCTCCGTTTACATCGTTCCTGTACTGACTGCTTTCAAGTTTAAATTAATTTTTATAAATTTAATAATTAATTTCATTTTTTTAAATTTAATTTAATTATTTTGAAAACAATACTAATAAAACTTTCTTCAAAGCGAAAGAGAGGGGTTGCGTTTACAAACCTGCCTTGCGAGGTAAGACTGAGTTATAACGGAATTAAATCCTATGGTGCTCGGAAGACTTTCGCACATATTCGCAGCCATAATAGACCCAGCTACCGTGGTGGCTCATCCTTGGAAGAAAACTATTTTTTCCTTTATTCCTTTTAGCAAGGCACTCTGCATCCACACCATCTGGATGATTGGCCGTCCACCACTGTACAATTTACTAATAGTTTTCTTCCTCGGATGACTTCTTTGTGGAATCGTTTACCACCAGCGATTTTTCAGACCGATACGACTTAGGGACCTTCAAGAAACGAGCTTACCCTTTTTTAAAAGGCCGGCAACGCACTTGCAATTCTCCTGCAGTTGTTCATGGACGGCGGTCGACATTTACCATGAGGTAAACTGTATGTTCGTTTGCCCCCTCTTCTATAAGGTACGTGAGGGTAATATGGTCACCTTAAGCTTTGGCGCCTTATAAAACCAAAACTAGGATGAGAACAGTTTTCTTTTTTTTTTTTACAAGATAAGGGTGACAAACGAGCACACAGTCCACCTGATGGTAAGCGGTTGCTGCGGCCCATAGACATCTACATCTATCCTCGTTTGCGAATCAAAATGCAGATGCGTTGTCACCCATGAGGGCTAAGATGGAATGCCTCATTTCCAGTAAAAAGAGCCTCCGGCCACCTGCACTCACCAAGCGAAACGCAGAGGTAAACCTCTACTTCACGTTGGTATTCTGTGAGTTCGTGGTACCACCCCGGTTCGAGCCGGCCCATCCGTGCGACAGCAAAAGCCGCCGCGTGGCTCTACCACTGTTAGAAACACGTAGTCGTATACTATAACCAATATATTAAGAAAAAAAAAACAAACAACCTTTGGAAATAATTAGGAACACTTAAAAAAATTAACTTAAAAAAATCTACTTCACTACACAATACTAAAATCGACTAAAATATTTACTATAATGTCGACTGTTAAAATAGTGCCGATAAAGCAGCGCCCTTTTTGACCCTTTATTATTTGATTGATTGATGAAGAACTACCGTATCACAGAGCCATCTATGCAAATAAGGCTGTAGTTTTTGAGTTTTAAGAAAGTGACCATATTAACCGGCTTTTATATAAAAATGGGACCGCCGTGGTTCACGATAGACATGCATAAAAATGTGTCATTGAAAAGTGAACTTTACTACACATGTATAATTAATTTAATCCAGTACATAGATTATTAATATATTTCACTAGATTAGAACGAGTGTGGATTATGTAACGTCAGGGGCGTAGCTACCGCCGTATCAGCCGTATCAATGATACAGGGCCCCCGGGCTACAGGTGCCCCGAACGTATGTAAGCAAAAATTCTAAGGACTTCTATGGGACAGGATGTTGGTTTGAATTGTTTGGCTAGCTTAGTTCCTAGGGGTATTAGTTGTAAGTAATAACTTATAATCAATATATAATTATTTTAATACAATGCGAGAGTTTTTATTTCTTTTGTGAAAAATATTTACCCTTCATTTGGATCCCCCGACAAATTTTGATACAGGGCCCTCCCCTCTAAGGCACGCTAATCCACTGTGTAACGTATGACATAAGTATCAGACATTTGTGATAAGGTGTAATATTAAATAAAAAGGCCTAATTTTTTTTAATTACTAATTTAATTGGGAGGAATAAGTTGCTAAGTAGAATTTGTTATCTCGATTTTCATACTTTTTAGGTCTGCCATCAATGTAAAAATAAAGAACTACTTATGCAAATTACAACTAATGTTTTCTGAGGTTTATAAATATGTTTAAATCAAGTACTTACATACACACATTATCAGTCATCAATACGACAACAAAACGGACATCAGAGCCATCTGTAATTTGTTAGCTCGGACGATTTGGTTAATATTTTACGAAATAAACTATTGTTTGAGCTATTTCTTTTGTTCTGATAGTCTTTATGTTAGATATGAGTAAGGCTATTATGGCTCCATTTTGTCCCTATTAGGTATAATTTTTGGACTGAATAAAATGAAGTAGAGACGCACTTGGATGAGTAATTAATGAAATATATTATTGATCATGATGAAGTGAAGTAATCTAGTTCACAAGAATAGTTGATAAAAACAACCTCATAAAGGTCATGAAATTATAATGTCGTAGAAACTCCCCCACATTCATACCAGTTCTCTGAAGTCGGTATCTTTTCTAACCGGTAATAAATTTTTAGATTCTTATAAGACAAGTGGTAAAATTAAAAATTTTGTACAACCGACTTCAATATAAATAAAGTGAGAACATAATCAATGTATGCGAAGTCAATTAAATACGTATAATTAAGGATAACTCAAAAACTACTTGTCAGATTTTGATCAAATTTATATGGGACCATAGAGAAGCACCAGTTTTCAAATAAAAAAGGATCCTCACGGCTGACAACCATGAAGCAAATACTTTGTATTTGCTTCATGCTCACAACGCATCTGCATTTTAATTTGCAATCGAAGATAGATGTAGATGTCTGTCTATGGGCCACAGCAACCACTTACCATCAGGTGGACTGTGTGCTCGTTTGTTACCCTTAATCTATAAAAAAAGTGATTCACACTAGCAATTAATACATAGCTTATAAACAAAATTAGGTATTTGTTTTAATCAAACTCTAACCACAGAATAAATAATACGTAGTACACGTACAGAAGTTGCATTCCTTTGATGTTGACTGCTTGCCGAAGTTTTAATAGCCTACATAATTATTATTAATAGGATAAATCGCGCACGCAAGCTAAATAAAACTTTATCGCTGCTCGAGTGTCCGTATTACTTTGCATCATTTCTCCTTCCTACGTTACAACGGACTTTCCGTGGTTACTAAGGGCTGTTAAAAAAGAGTAAATAAATACATTGCGGAATGGTAAGTTACTTAGGTAAAATACCTATTCTAATGATGATCGACCATATTTCCGCTACTATGTGAGTTATGTAATGCCCAACTAGGGTTACCATCTGTCCGGCTTTAGACGGACATGTTTGGCTTTTTCGGGTTGTGTCCGGACAATTTTTTGTATCCGGCCTGTCCGGCTTTTGTTAGGCTTTTTGTTAGTGTAACGCGTTGCACGAATCGCTTGCAGAATAAATAAATAAGTAACGTATACACTTGAAACTGTGCTGTAATTGATTAATAAACAATTAACGCATGTAACGGAGTATTTTAGTTTTTTTTTCTCGAGGGGTTGGAGTTGGTGAGTTTTTTGGCTGCATGGCCTCAGAAAGGTATGTTTGGCTAAAAATTACTGTCCGGCTTTTAGGGCCAAAAGTCCGGCTTTTTGGAGCGCCGAGTCCGGCTTTTTCATTTTAGGAGATGGCCACCTGCCCAACGCATGCAACTTGAAGGCCATTCGCTTTTCATTGTAATTCTTGTCACGACTGCGTTCTGCCCGGGGGCGCCTCACGATTGTAGGTAACATAGAATTATTTGCGTAATAATTCTATGGTAGGTAATTATTTCATGCAGGTAGCAAGAGTGACAGAGGCCTGCTCCAACGCTATTTTGCTTAGAAATTACTCATAAAATCGACGGCAATTTAAGAATTGTTTGAATAATATTACGAAAATTGTATGAATTTTTGGCCGTGAAAGGAAAAGGGGAGATCTCCCGCCGGGCAAGGTGTTAAGCCCGTGGAGCGGCCAACGCTCCGAGTGGTAGATCGGAGCTATTATATATTGATTTTACTTCGGAACTTTGAGATCGCGCTTAAAGGATGATTCACGCTACAACGTGACGCGGCCGGGCCGTGCCCCGGCCGGGGCACGTCCACCGTGCACTGGCCGGGCCAGTCATTCAAGTTACACCGGGCTGTTTGCACGACCGTGGCTTATGCACGACTCTGTGTTATGTGGTTTTTGTCAGCTAGTGATTTCATCTGTCGATAGACTTCACGCTTACATAAATATGCAATTTTCACAATTTGAATTGGCAGCTATTGCAATTGCCATCGATGATGAAGTATTGGAAAAACGAAGCGAAACTACTAAAAGAAGATGGGGTGTACATCCAACCTGGAGAAAGCGAGAAGCAGAAGGAGAATTTGCTTTACTTTACAAAGAATTAATAGATGATGAGAGCAAGTTTTATGGTTATTTTAGAATGTCTAAAGAATGCTTTACTTTTTTACTTGAAAAAGTAAAACCAGACCTAACCAAAAAAATTACAAGATTTCAAAAGCCTATATCTCCCATCGAACGATTAGCAGTCTGCATCAGGTAAATAA